CCAGTGGTTGCTGGGTTGAACTAATTATGTCTAGTAATTCCTGGTCCAGGACCAGTCTGTGCCAGAGTTTGTTCTGGATCCCTCCTGTCTCCCTTGGTGCTGTATCCCCCATGTATAGGTTTCTGGAGCTCAGTTTTTATCTTCTCTGGGGTCCCCCTTGGTCTTCTCAGTTGTGGGGCTTCTACTGTAGCCTTCTTAATAAGTCTGGGAGTTTGCTTATGGGACTAGAGACTGGCCCTGCTCCAAGGTCATATACAGTGTGGTCTCTTACTAGACCGTGAACCCCTCGAGGGCAGGGTGCGGGTCTGAATTGCCTCTGGGCTCCTGTGTCCAGCATGCTCTGTTGCCGGGCTGGCCAAGGCAGCACAGGCCTGAGTTGGCCCTTCTCCCTCACAGGTGGCCTGGGTTGAGGTGGGGATGGGTGCTGAATCAGAGTAGATGGCTCCTTGTGTCCAGCTTCCTCTTCCCGGCTGGCCCCAGGCTTGGGAACAGTGGCTGCCTTTCTGGGGCAGCCAGGGCGCCTGGCCAGAGTGTGCTCTGTCGGGCACTGTCCGCTCTCCAGCAAGCCCCGGTCCTCCTCTTAACCTAGAGAAGGCCCCGGGTTATTGGTGTTATTCTTGGCGGACCACTGGGCCCCTCAGCAAACAGGGAGGCGAGTGTGCACCCGGCCTGGGCCTGTTTGTGTTGGCCTCGCCAGGCGGGGGATTAGCTCAGCTGGGCTGCTAATTGCCTCCGAAGTGCCGGCCGGGATGCTGACAAGGGCTGGGCCTCTAGGCCCCTCCTCCCCAGCAGGCGCTATGCCAGGCTTGGGGGCCCAGCCCAGGAGGGCCCCTTCTCTCCCCTGTCAGCGCCTGCTTGGCCTAGCCCCTTGAGATGTGGGCAGGGGGTCACCAGGGCTGGCGGCTCAGGAAGGAGTGGGGGGAGATGCCTATGAAGTCATTGCCTGGGCCAGGCCAGGCCATACTTGGCCCCTTCCCCCACATCCCTTAGACCCCCTCCTCCTTTCTGGAGTCAGATGCCTTCAGAAGCTCAGCAGTTTCTCCTTTTGTCAGGAAGCTGCTGGGCTCCTCTGCCCGAGATGCCCTTTGGTCCCTCAGCACTGTGCTCTCCTTGTGTGTCTTCCTTTCTGTTCCTGTGTCTGTCCTCCCACCTTCTGGCTTTCCCTCACTCTGTTTCTCAGTCTTTCTTAGCCCCTCTCAGTTGCCAGGAACCCTGTATTTCCTTCTACCCTCTGTCTACCTGTGTTCTCTGGCCCTTCCTTGGCCGAAGACCCATCTCACACCCTGCCCCTGGTCTCCCCAGACAGCTCTTGGGCCACTGCTGTCAAGCAGGTGCTGAGAAGGAGGTCCACTTTATCATGGTCTCTCAGCTTTCCCAGAGACCTTCAGGCCTGAGTTGTGAGACAGACAGCTGTCAAGAATGGATCTGGACACAGGCTCTCCATGAGCTGACAGTACCTGGGAGTCCTGAAAGCTTTCCATGCTCGTAGGCGGAGCCCCTGGGCCCCACTATATAGGCTTCCTGTAGTTCTGACATTCCTTCCTCCTCCTGTTCCCAGTCCTGGCTCTGCTTCTCAGCCATACTGAGAACTTGGTTCGGCCTCTCCTGCTGGCGCTTTGGGCTGCCTTGCCGTTGCCTTGCTTGCTGCTGCCTGGGTATTCTGACCCCATGGGTTCTCTTGTCTCCTGGCTGGGGATCTCTGTCCTGAGACATGTCTGTTTCTGATTTTGGGGAAGGGGCCAAAGTAGGATCATCTGTCTTCAGCCCTCAACTATCCCTGATTTCCTCCTGTTCCATCTCCTCTTTGGCCCCCTCAATTTTAGAGCCACCTTAACTGCCTCCGACATTCCTGAAAAGGGAATAATAATATTTACAATAGTAGCTGCCATTTGTTGAGCTTTACAGATTTGATTTAACATCCCCAAGAAACTGGTTATTTAGCCTCACTTGAATTTGGGGCAGGGGGAGCAGGCCCATATTACAAATGAAGAAAATAAGTCCCAGAGAGGAACAGTGAATTCCTCGATTTTCCATATAGTGAAGAAGTGACAGCACTGCAACTCCAGCCCATGTCGGTTTGATTATAAAGCCTGGGCCCTTTTCACAGTTGTAGGAAATGGTTGGGCATGGAGACCTTCACCTTCTTTGCTTGGCCCTCGTGGACTCCCTGCATGACCTGTTCCTTTCTCTCTGACGTGACCCTGATTTCGGAATAAGGTGTCCTTTTCTCTCCATCCATATCCTAGACCCTTCCCTCCCTCCATTATCCCCTTCCCCAGTTCTTCACCAATCAGTGTGCACCTCTGCTCTCCTGGAAGAACTTGCTTCAGCCCTTTTATATGCCACTAAACTTTTGGAAAGCAGGCATATAGTTGCCTACCTGCTCCCAGACATGTGAATTTGCTGCAGGGGGGCGGGGGCTGGGGAGGACAGGTCACGGCCCCCTTGGTTAGGACGAGGACTTCACTAGACTGACGTTCCCACGAAGCCACCTTGGTTCTTCCCGTCAGCTCTGACTTGGGTTACGTGGAGTTTTCCATCCAGACTTCTCATCCTGACCAGGCTCCAATTCTGGAGTAGACTTCCAGCCAAAGGCCTTGGATTCCTGTGTCCTTGGGCAGGAACTAAGTTCTTTTCGATTTGTTCCCTACCTTCTCGGTTGGCACCCACTTCACCAGACCCTCCTCTGTCATTGTCTTTGTTCCTCCTCTGTCAGTGCTCAAAAAGCATTCTGAGGCCTTAGCTCTGGCCAAGGCCTAAGTAGCTGATCGTGGCCCCATGATGTGCGTGCAGGTAGAGCCTCTTGTGTTACAGGGGATTCCAGACAGCACACAGGTGGCTTCTTTTCATGTGGCCATCAAACCAGTTACTCAGAAGGAAAGAGGGCAGGGAGCGTCCCCATATCTAGACTGTGAACTGGTTATCTGCTTTTCCCATGTCCTTCCCCATGTCTCTCTCCTCCTTTTTCTGCAAACAAAGACACTTTCACAATTGCAAGATAAAGAAATAATCATTTTATCGTGCATCAGACTATTTCGTGGGGATGTTACAATGGCAAGGGGCCTAGTATAAAAATTAGAAGATGGGGTAGGGTAGCAGAGGGGGTAGCAGCATCCAGAGCTGGGGCTTATCCAGTCCTAGGCCTCAGAGGACATCATCTTTGTCTTGTGGAGACTAGTGGAGAGGGTTTCGGGCAGGACTTGGATCCTCTGGCCAGCTTCCAGAGTGGGTGGGCTACATCAGGCATGTGCTGGTTCTCCCCTCTTTATTTGGGATGGTTTGGAGCTAGGTGTGTCCAAGGAAGCTCCATTTTCCTGTGGTTGTGGGTCCCTTTGGCCTTTGAGATGCTGGCGGTGGTAGCAGTAGGGCTGGGCAGAGCTTCCTAGACTCTAGTCTGCTTTACAGAGATCATACCCTTGAGAAACCCAGGCTGGGCAGCTTTGAGAGAGCCCCTAGGCAGGTGGAGAGGTAAAGCCTGTGAATGGACACAGACCCTCTTACTTCTAATCCTAGGGACAGTATCTTTAATACCAGCATCCAGCCTGGGCCTGCCAGTTCCCTGGTTCTGGCAACAGGGTTTGGGGGCCGAGTAGAGTGGCTCTGCCCTGACTCTGGAGGGGGAGGGTCTCTCCTGCTTCCTTTGTCTGGGTCTGGCCTCTGCCAGTGAGGGGTAGCATTTTCCCTGGCAGTGAGCAGACAGCTGAACAGAGACTGCCCGAGGAGCAGTGAGCCCAGCTGGGCCTCTGTGGGGACACTTAGTGGGCTCAGCTTTCATCCACATCAGAGCCTGCCCGCCCCAAGATTATCCCTCATTCCAGTGTGGCTGCAGCAGCTCACTTGGTTTTGGCCTTCTTGGATGGACACTGAGCAGAGAGCTTGGCTGGGCGCCAAGGGTGTTGACCCTCTTTTAGTGAGGGAGCCAACACCAGGAGGCACAAACCACAAGGCCTGGAGGAGAGTTTCTACCAGAGCCCGTATTCTCAGTCTGGGACTTTGAATTCAGACATGGAACCCTGGAGCCAAGACTTGGGGTCTGAGAATCTCTAGTGGGGATCCCAGAGCCCAAGACCTCAAACCAGGAGCCTGGAGCCCCATTAAGGGGGCAGCTTGGAGACTGGGTCTCCAGCAAGCTCCGCTGGGAGTTGGGAGCCCTCCTGAGAAGCAGCAGTGAGGTCAGGACAAGTCCTACTGTGTGCATGTCCTGCTCATAGAAGTTTGGGCTGTGCTCCTGCCGGTTTGGCTGGGGCCAGGCCCGGCCTGCTGGTGCTTTCTCTTGGGGACTCTTCTTCAGTGCCCAGGGTACCCGAGGGTAGGGGTGCCGCAGCAGCTGACACCTCACTTCATCAGCCCTCTAACTGTCCACTGCTTCCCTTGGAGCCTGTTGTGCTGCTTGGAACCAAGTGGCCGCTAGGTCCAGCCTATAGTCTGTGGCTTCTGCTGCCTCCTGGCCCCTCTTCTCCAGCTGGTACCCGCTCCCCAAGGCTCAGACCCAAGGAGACCTGCAGTTCCTTGGCTTCAGGGCTCTTCTGGCTGTGCCTCTGCAGCCAGCTCGCTCTGGAACCTGGCTGAGTGTTGTCCCCGATGCTGTGAGATGGACACAAGCACGTTTGTCTTTGCACCTCCCAGGACTGTTGTGATCACACTATGAGCTGGCCCAGGATAGGGCCTAGAACATAGTATTTACTTAGGAAATGTGGTTCAGTGAGGGAAGTAATGGGTGGGAAAGGGCTTTTTAACTGGCTGGTTCCTCTGCGTGTGTGATCTCCATTCTTTCTCTCACAGAGGAGCGGCACCGTGAGGAGACACACATAGAGGTGTCCCTGCAGAGGCCCGGCTGGGACCTCTGATCCAGGATGACAGCTGGTGCCTGGGAAGGACCAGGGAGTGGTAGCTTCCCCTCTTTGATGGGGAGGCTGGGTGGGCTGGGCTCCAGGGCAGGACTGGAGCCTTCCCTGGCCCTTGTCTCACCTGCTCTTCCTGCCTGGAAATTCCGAGACTGACCTCCAGCTGCTCATGGAGGGCTGAAGCGAACCCTTTGCCCTTGAGCTGGCACCTGCCCTTTTCCAGGGGACTCGAGAGACAGGGCTACCAGGCTGAAGCTGCCAGGGGCCGGGTGTGTGTATAGGGGTACAGCTTCCATCAAGATGGCACTGGTTTCCCCCTGCCTTAGGGCCACCTCCTTCCTGAGATGGCAGGGTAAGTCGGCATGTGGCAGACACTCCTTGTCACCCAGCTGAAGTCTGCAAGTAGGAAAACAGATACGGATAGCACCCGAGTGGTCAGCAGTGGCCACATGTGGACAGCCAGAGGCATGAGCAAAGGTCCCTTTGGTCAGTAGCAGCCACAGAGGCCCGGGGTTCAGAGAGGCCCTGGCTGGTGCCCTCGGGGCCGTCTGCCTGCTTTCGGTAATAAATAACATGAGGACCCAAAAACCAAACCAAAACAAAAAATACAACCAGTATCTTTTGGGGTAGGTGCAGGGGGACTGTTTAAATTACTGGCCTTCCCCGGGCCGCGAGGCGGGCGCGGGTGCCGCGGTCACCGGCACGTGTGCAGCTCCACCAGCCGCTGGCACTGGCGGCACTTGACGAAGCAGCACCAGTGGAACTTGCAGCTGCAGCGCTCGGCCAGCTCCACCTGCGCCGTGTGGAAGCCGCGGCCACAGCACAGCAGCTCGCAGCCGTCGATGGCCTTGGACGTCTTGTTGCACGTGCGGCCCCGCGTGCCCAGCACGCCACTGCGCATGTCCTGCTCGCAGAAGTCCGGGCTGGGCTCTAAATACACCAGGTCCTCGTCCGTGTGCGGCTTGAACTGCGCGTTGCGCGGCACCAGCGCCCTGGAGGAGCCCACGCGGCGCGGCTCCACCTCGGTGGCGCCGTCGAACTTCTCCTTCAGTGCGTGGCCCACCTGGCGGAAGGGCGGCACGGCTCGCCAGCACGTCTTTACCTCACAGGAGCCCGACACCCCGTGGCACTTGCACTCCACCCGCATGTGTGTCAGGATAGCCTGCAAGGGGCGGGGAGGGGAGAGGGCCCATGAGGAGACGGAAGGGGTTGGGGAGGGGCCACGGCGGTGGGGGTGCCGCTGGCGGGGCTGGGGATTGGGGGAAGTGCCACAGAATTGGAGAAAGGTTGTCGTGCATCCTCTGTGTTAAGAACCTGCTGTACACCGGGGTGGGCCAGTAAGCTGGGTTGGGGACAGTTGAAGACACTGTCCCTGCCCTTGGGGCACTTGGTGCAGATGGAGGAGAAGCATTTCAGAGGGTACAGTTACACAGGACAGTGAGTGACCAGTGGCAAGACGGGGGACAGCACCGCTGCACCGAAGCTGCCCAGGAGCCGTGGGGAGGAGGTGTGGAGGAGGCACGTGGTCTCTGTTGACGCCACGTTCACATCCTAGCTCTGCTGCTTTGGAACGGTGTGTGTGGGGACACAGACATGTGGGTGGGCGTGTCAGGGGCACATACTGCTCTGTGATCCCTGCCCACCTGGCCGCTTCCCCACCCGCCGCCCCTAACCCACTGGCCCACGGGGTGCTGGTGCTGGTGGGAGCCTGAACAGGTGTTCCCATGTGGCGCACGGGGAGGGGAGTGTGCGGGGGGTCCTGCCGAGACTGCCCTTGCCCCAGCGGTGATGGTGGCAGGGGATGTGCTGCACTACCTTCCTGCCAGCCTCGTTGTTGTGGAGGTTCATGAGGGCACGGCTGGACGACGCCCCCTTACTTCTCTCCCGCACGTCCACGAAGGACTGGGAGAAGGCCACGCCGTAGGCGATGTTGTCCGAGCATCCTGACCACTGGAAGCCTGCGGGGGTGGGGGGGGCGCACCGTGGCCGCAGTGAGTGGCGGGCAGGGCCCAGGTCCTTGCCCGCCACTCGCCCCCTTCCCCCCTCCGACACTCACCCTGCGGGCTGACCCCATGCACTGTCCGGTCACAGCCACACTTCTCCAGCTCCCCACTGCTGCATGCCCGTGTCACTGCAAAGGCCACACCTGCCGAAGAGATGGCGTACACGAAGGCCGCCTCCCGAGTCCCTGTGAGAGGCAGAGGGAGGGCAGGGCTGGGTCTCAGTGCTCTGCCCCGCACCCTCCTTGGTCGAGGGGAGTGGTCCATGGGAGCCCAGGAGGTGCCGCCAGCCGCCGCCCTGGTCCCGCCCAGACCAACCATCGGGTCGCTTGCCGCCCTCCAGCGCTGCCTCCGCCCCTGCGGTGCCACGCTATCTCCCTCTCGGATGAGTCCCCTCCTCTGGGCTCACACAGCGCAGTCCAGCTTCAGTGCTCTTACCTACCAAGGGACACTGTTCTCACAAGCTGTCCGGGAGACGAGTGCTGTTAGCGTCACCACACGGGAGACAAGACAGGCTCGGGAGGTGAGCTGACTTGCCGAGGCTGGACAGCAGAGCCCGGCCGCTAGCCCAGCTCTGGCTTTCTCTGAAACCTCTGCTTGTTTCCTGCTGACCCCCCAACTGGCCCCCGGCACTCCGAGGGGGCCCCCTGCAATCTCGCCCTGGCCCAGCCCTTTTCTGCTGAGGCCGTGTTGCTTCCTGACACCTTGCTGAGGGTCTGTTGTCACGGCAGCAGCCCCCACTGTTAACCATGACTAGTGCTGAGGAGAGGGTGTCCTCCGCTGCTGGGAGCCTTATTCATGTCCATTTCACAGACGGTGAAGTGCCAGTTTGGGGAGGGGACGTGATTTGGTCCCAGGCACCCAGCAAGGAAGTGATAACACCAGGACCCAAACGTGGGTCTGTCCGCCTCTGTCCCTGCTCTTCCCCTTCCCGTGCTATGACTTCTTGGCAGTTCTATTTTGGTGCCTGCCCTCCTCCCCTGCCTGAATGGGTGTTTTTATCCTCCTAGGAACTGTGTCTTGGGGTGTAGCTGCTGTGGAGCCTCTTTCTGGGGCTGTGGGTGGTGGTGGGGGTGTGTGTGTGTGTAATGCATGTGCGCATGGCTGGCTGGGTGTGTGACCAGACAGGCCCTGCTCCTCTTCTAGGCCCTGTGAGGGCCTCTGTGTGCCCGTGACTGTCCTCCTGTCTCTTGCTGGAGTGTCTGTCCGCAGGAGTGAAGGGGGGCAGGTTTTGGCCCCGTGGTTGGCAATTACCACTGTGACACCCAGGCCTGTGCTCTCGGCTGCCCCTGGGAGCAGTTGCCGTGGTCAGATGGAAACAATCACCTCCTCTGTGCCCGTGTCTGTAGACAGGCAACAGAAGCCGGGCCCTGGGATGGGGGACAGCTTGGGCCCCAATGGCTCAGGACGCCCTGTTCCCTGTTCAGCCCTTGAGCTGGGGCTATGGCCCCCCACCTACTCTCTACTGCCCTCCCTCTGCCCTGGCTTGGCCGTTTTGGGCCAGCATCAGGGGGCTTGGCTGGAGGAGCCACCCGGGCCTCGACAGCCTGGGATGGAATCCTCTCCAAGTTAATCGAGGTTAGTCGCAGGGTCATGTTGGTTGGTTCTGTGCTGTGGCTGCCCAAAGAGGGACGACTTTCGTTTCTGGTATTTCTGGTATTTCCAGCCCTGAACAAGCACAAATCTTTGCCCCAAAGACTAAGGGGGGGAAGGGCCGGCGGGAAATAGGGACTGATAGGGTGGCCCCAGCTCTGGGCTGGGTGTGGTCCTTACTTCTGTTTCTCTGGGCTTTCAGGCAGCCCCTGGTCCTTCCGATCCCTGGGCTCATCCCCCCTGTGTCCCCTGAGTGCTGGTAGCCCTGGTGTGCAAGGCTCCCTGTGAGTTTGCCTCATTCCCCAGACCAGCGGCCATCTACTGGGACTCCAGGTCCCCCTTGCCCTGGTCTTGGGAACAGGACACTACGGTTTTCTCTGCTTGGGAGTGGGCCTGAAGGAAGAGATTCTGGAAGGAAAATGTGAACGGCAAGAGCAAAGGCTTGTAGAGCGCTCGCTCTGTGCTGGGCACGGCCTGAGCACTGTACATCACTTATATACCCTGCACACCAACCCAACGGGGTAGAAGCTTCATCCTCGTTTTATAGACGAGGAAACTGAGGCACCGAGGGGTGAAGCAACTGGACCAACAGTACCCAGCCAGGAAAAGTAAATCATGGGACTGGTATTCTAACTCCGGCAACTTTCACCCTTGACGTTGTCTACATGCAGGGCATCTCTTCCCACCTCCTGTGTGTGAAGCCAAGAAGGGCTTTCTTAGGTCCACCCTGACTCTCATGTGCTGTAGACCAAGCCTGGTCCGTTTTGTGGGCTCCTCCTTGGGGGATGCTGAGCAGTTGGCCTGGGCTCAGCACAGGAGGCCCCAGAAGGCCTGGAGAATGTGGCCATGCCACCATACCCCCAAAGGCCCACAGCAGTGGCTCTGGCAGCCTCTTCCAGCTCTGGGTCCAGCCCTTCAACTCCAGGGCTATGGCCCTTCCTGGTCCCTCCCCTCTGCCTGGGTGCCCAGGCTGGAGCCTCGCTCACTAGGACCACCCGGCAGAGGCAGAAGGGGCCAGCGGCACGCCTGCAGGCGTAGCAGAGGGAGGCCCCACGCGTTGTGGAAGAGAGCTGCCCCCTGGTCGGAGGCTTGCCTATTCCAGCTGCAGCAGAGACAGACCTGGCTTTGTCCTCCGGGGACATCAGAGCCGGCGGTAAGGCAGAAATCTCAAAGGTGCCAGCCGCCTCTGCCACCTCCTGCCTCTTCCATAAAGCCATTTGCCACATCCGACAGCCAGCTCCTTTCTTCCGACTCCCCTGGCTCCAATGTGCACCCTCTGGGTCTCACCTCAGGGCCATTTTCCCAAAGTGCGAAGGTGGCCTGGGGCTGGGAACTCAGAGTTGTCCTGGGAACCCAGGAGTAGCTACCCTTTCTGAGGGCCTCCTGAGTGCCAGGGCCTTTCCATGTGCTGTCCGTGGCTCATGACAACTTAGCACCCAGCTCTCTCCAGCTCTGCTCTGTGGAGGAAGCAGTGAGGCTCCGTGGCCTGTCCAGGGTCCCTCAGCTGGTCAGCAGCTAAGTGGGAACAGGAACTGAAGCCTGTCTGACTTCCGAGCACATCATGTGCGACGTCTCTCCCAGATGTTGGCAGGAAGGACATTTGAGCGGGAAGTTGGGAGGAGAAGCCGTGGGCGCTGAGTTGGACTGGAAAGGAAGCCTCGAGCACGGTGATCCCCTGGGCGCCAGGCAGGTATCCTGGTGGAAGGGCCATTCAGGCATAACTCAGTGTTTCCAAAGCAGACCCAGCGGGAGTCCTAGCAGATGGGGCAAGACAGGCACTGGTCTCTGAGGACATTGTCCCCGTCCTTTCCCCTTCCATGCTCCCAGCCTGCCTTCCCAGTTTCCTTTGTTTTTCTTAGCTGCAAAAGCTCACCTTTCCTTGAAACCACCTCTAGGAAGTCTCTTGGGATTTAAGAGACCATGTAGGACAGGGGAAAGTCAATTAAGACTCAATAGTGGCGAGACTGTCCTCTGTGAGCCTCATTGTCTCCACTCTTAACAGGGCAAGAGAGTGCTGCCCAGGCAGGCCGGGCCCTGCACTTCTCCCACCCCTCCTGCCCACCGTCTTGGGACTCCCAGGGCTGCCTGCATGCTCGCTGGCCTGCCTGCCCTGGGACCAGAATCAGGCTGCAGGTCTTACCTTCTAAGTGTCTCGCGGCCAGACTGGAAGCTCCTAGGGTCAGGCTGCCCCCCTTCTTCTCCTTTGCCCGCCCAGCACCCAGCACAGGGTTGCGCACAGAGTGGCTCTTGGACACGGGTGAGTGCTGGAAAAGGGTCTAGATGCGCAGCCCGTAGGCCTTCGAGCTCCTCGCTCAGCCACTTTCTAGGGGTGTGATTTCAGTTTTCTTGGCCACAGAATGGGGCTGATGGTACTGACCTCAAGAGGGGGCCATGGGACTCCAATGAGGTGAAGTCCAGAATGTGCTTAGTCTAGTCCCTGGCACAGAATGGGCACTCGAGACCTATTTTGTGATTATGGTGTGATTAATGCCATTTTAGTCACCTGCTCACAGAGGTCCTAGGGCACCGACCCTCTGAGGGTCAGGTGCTTGACTGCATGTTTGCCTTCGGGCTGAGAGCTTCCTTTGGGCAGGGACGTGCCTTGCTTGCTCCCTCGCCAGACATTTGCTGATTGCCCGCCGGGAGCCAGGCCCAATGCTCCGCACCAGGGATACTGAGGGGGGTTTGTCCTCAAGGAGCTCCCAGGGACAGAATGTTTCTGGGAACCCACCCCAGCCTACCTGGAACTAACTTGATGACCCCAAAAGACTGGCTCTGGAGGTCACCCGGAAGGAAGGCCTGTTCCCACCCTCATGGGGCCCACCATGGTGCCAGGACTGGGGGTCAAGGTGAGGGCAGAGGTTTTGGTAAGTCACAGCCTCAGACCAGAAAGCCTTCACATCTTAAATCCAGTCTGATGTTACAGTCAGTAAGGAGTCTAGGTGACGTTAGACACACGGGTGGGAAGGCGGGCCTGGGTTTGAATCCTTACTTTGCTTTGGCCAGCGCACTGCATCACCTCCCAGCCATGGCAGCCAGAGGCCGGAGGGTCTGAGGGCTCATTGAATACCCTCTCCCAGGACAGGCCTCCGTCAAGGTCACAGAATGGGATGGGAGGAGGCAGGCAGAGGCATGGCACTGCCCACAGATGGAGGGAAGAGGAGAAGAGTTTGCACTGCCTTTCCTAGCTCTCCCGGTCATGCTCAGGCCAGCCTGCTCTGGGAGCCCAGTATGTCCTACGCATGACCTTGAAACTTTGCCAGACTCTACAGGGCTTCACCTTCCCATCCTCAGATCCTTTTTATTCAATCAACACGTATTCATCAGTTACCTACTCTGTGTAGGTGCTACGCTAGGCTCTGGGACAAAGCGTGACTAAAACATACAGAGGACATCCCACATCCGGTCCTTAACCCCTGCTCAGCAAGAACTGCCACCTGACCCCATTCCTGGCTGCCCCCAATTTCTCCTAGATATTTAGCCGAGAGCATACGGTTCGGCCCTCAGTCACACACTATCCTCATTGGTGACCGTTAGCTCACATCCATCTCCCCTTAGTAGGCCAGGAGCAAGGTGACCTCTGCTGCTGGGGGTGGTAGCGTGCAGGGCGGAGGCTGGGAGACCTCAGGCAATGTCAGCCTTGGGGGGCTCTGGGGAGTCAACCAGCCCTTCAGAGGCACCTTCTCTGGCTGATGGGAATCCCAGGAAGTGGGTCCTGGGATCGTCCCCACTTTACGGGGAGGATGCTGAGGCTAGGAGAGGGGATGGACCTTGTCTGAGATCTCAGAGCCAAGAGTTGGCAGGTCCTGGAGCTGGGTGGGTATGTCACCACCCTCTGCTTGCTGAGCCTCCCTTCCTGGTGGTAAAGTGGGGGACACCACCACACATCCAGTTGTCGTGAGGGTGATCTGATGCCAGACGGCACACAGCGGGCCATCAACAAATGGGGTTCCTTTTCTTGTCCAAGGATGACCCGGTTCCTGGGCCTCCTCCATGTCTGAGGCTATGACCCCAGCCACGCAGCTCATGAATGTGGGCACCAACCCAAGCTCACCCTTGCCATCACCCCAAAAGCTGGTGGCCTCGCAAAGGGCCTGCCCAGCCTGGCTGCTGCCGTTGTGGATTTCCCCAGTGCCCGTGAGGAGAAGGGCTCTTCTTGGGTCAGGGCGTACCCTAAGTGCTGCCACACATGGTGTCATGGGACCTTCCTGACGGGCCCTATAAGGTAAGCACACGTGCTCATCTCTGTGACGGGCCTGGGCGCTGTGGCTCGGGATAACACCACTCGTCCAAGGTCACCCCGCCCATGCCCCTCCCGCAGCTACCTCCTGAGCCTCTGAACCTTCCGAGAGCGGCACCTGCCGATGGCCAAGTCCCTCTTGCTCAGTGGAGACAAATTAACACTTCCAAATGCAAGAGTAGAGAGATGGACGAGCGCAAAGAGCCCAGACCCCGCCTCCAGACAGACCTGGTGTCTGCCTGGTGCCTCTGGGGTGCCTGACTTGGCCCCAAGGGGGCTGGATGCTCGACCAAGCCACTCAGACTTTAGTCCGGACCAGGTGGCAGCCAAGCCTGGTAGGATTAATTCTCAGTGTTCCCCAAACCAAACTTGCTGAGCCAAGGGTGGGCCCTTCCTTGGTTCATGCTGCAAATACCAGTGAGGAAGGCACTTCTCCATGGGGTTCCCCACCTGCTTCGGGCCAGCCTGGACCCCATGCCTCCCTTTCTTTGCCCCTTTGAGTCCTTGCCCTGACTTGCTGCCCCTGAATGACATCCATTGACTTTCTCCTCCATGCCAGGCTCTGCCATATGCTGGGAAACAGGTAAATGAGACAACACCTTGCCATGGGAAGGGCTCAGGCTTTGGTGGGGGGGGAAGGGACAGGCATTACAGTTTAGTCTAAAAGATGTAATGAGGGGTGCCTGGGTGACTTGGTTAAGTGTCCGACTCTAGATTACAGCTCAAGTCGTGAGATCAAGCCCCACATTGGGCTTTGCACTAGGTACGGAGTCTGCTTGAGATTCTCTCTTTCCCTCTCCCTCTGCCCCTCCCGCCACCCTGTGCACCTGCACACTCGCTCCCTCTCTCTCAAAATAAAAATAAAAGCAAAAGGTGTAATGAAAGCTATGTGAGCATAAGTGGTTTAGGCAGGTATGTATGTGCGTGCGTTTGTATTAAGGGGTGGAGAGAGAAATTGATAAGGCAGATGGGTTAAAATGTGGACAGTTGGTCAATCTAGGTCAAGAGTAGTATGGGAATTCATCATAGGAAAAACCAATATACATAACGGAGAGAACGTACTGGGGATGGCCAACGGTGGGGGTGAGGAGGTGGGTGTGATGGCTGAGGGGGGTCAAAAGGTACAAACTTCAGTCACAAAATAAGTAGGTCATGAGGACGTCATGTACAGCGTGGTGACTATGGCTGATAATCCCATGTTGCACATGTGAAGCTTGCAAAGAAAGTAGATCTTAAAAATTCCCATCATAAGAAAAAAGATGTGTCATTACGTGTGGTGATCATTTTGTAATATATGCAAATGTGGAGTCATTATGCTGTATGCTTCAAAAGAATATAATGTTGTATATAAATTATACCTCAATACAAAAAGAAATGTATCGCCTACAGGTGAAAGAATTTTTTTGGTAAATTTCCTGTAGGTTTGAAATTATATCAAAACAAGAAATTACCAAAAAACCCAGAAAAACAAAACAAACAAAAAAAAAACAACCCCAGCATGAGCAAAGAGCTTCAGAGCCCAGAGGAAAAAGCAACTGCCCAGTTGTAGGAGCTGGGGAGAAGCTGGGGGGAGGGAAGAGCTGAGCTGGCAGAGAAAGAGGGGTGAATATTTAGGGTGGAGGCAACAGCACATGCAAAGGCACGGGGGCTGTGACAGGGCCTGGCACAGGGAACCACACGTGCCCCTAAAACTCCAAACACGGGCCTTCCCGTGCTTAGAGTCTGCAGTTTAAGCCTAGTATTTGGGCCTCGTCAAACAGTGGCCCCCAGGCCCTGGCAGTGGCACCATCGTCTTGGGGAGATCCTCCATTACCAGGCTATTTGCTGGGTTTCTGCTGCTTCCCCGGAGTAGCAATATTCAGTAATGCCAAGCATGATGGTGCCTTTTTGGCTTCTGCCAGCTCCCTGGAGAATTGCTTCCAAATTTCGATCACAGTTGGTTTCCAACAACATCCAAACGGTTTGCCACGAGCCCAGCAGCTCTGGCTGTCCAGGGCCACAGGTGCCAAGACAAAGGTTGGCCCAGGCAATGCCCTCCTGCTGCCTGGTGAGTCAAAGGGCCCCGTGGATGGTTAGTAGCTCCGGAGTGTCAGTTTCATGCTCAGGAAGTAGAAAAAGAGGCAGCTGGTTTACAGCCCTTCCTCGAGGGCAGCAGATTGACCCAGTGACCTCTCAAGGAGCCTTCCAGTTGCACAGAACGTTCCCTCTGCCCTGCCCACCTTCCTCTGGCTTGATGCCTTCTCGTATTTCTCATCTCAGTGGAGGGCCTAACTTCTCAGCAAAGCTCTCTCCCGAGCACCCATTCCTGGCCAGGGGAGAAGTCTACCCTTGTGTTCCCGAGGCTCGCGTGTCTGCCCCCCCCATCACGGCATCTTCTCATTATGGGTGACAGCAGGACCCTGGAACTGGCCTGCATGGGCCCCAGCCCCGACTCTGCCACTTGCTAGTTCTGTGACCGTGGGCAAGTTACTGAACCTCCATGTGCCTCAGTTTCTTCATTTATAATGTGGAAGCCCATCTCCAAGGCCAGAGGACTTAGCATGTACTTAAAACGGGGTCCAGTCCCTAGTTTGTGCTATGGGCGTGGAAGCTCCTGCCCCTCCTGGGCTTGACTTGACTGCTTCCAGGAGGACAGAAGCGGGTTGCGGCTCTTGCTTGGTCTCAGAGCCGGGCACGGTAAGGCTGTCCACATGGCCTCCTCCCAGGAGGCCAAGGGTTAACGTCAAAGCAGCATGGGGTTGGGGGGTCTGGGCCCCAGGTTCACCCTCTGAGAAGCTCTGGGCCAATCCATCCTTCTCCCTGCCCAAGCCTCGGTTTCTTCCTTGGTAGAACGGGGATGGCAGCTTGGGGACTGAAGCGCTACGGACGAGAGAGACCTGCACCCACAAGGAGCAGCACCCCCCGCGCTGGCCTTCCCACCCTAGTCCCTGGCTCCAGCCACGCGCTGGTTCAGCTTGCTCAGTGACAGCCGGCTCCCGAGCACCTGTCCACCCTGCCAGGGAGCTGCCCACCCCTGCCCCTCCTGCGAGCCCCTCCCTCACCTTGCGTCACCACCTTGCCGAAGACAGGCAGGGAGTCGAGCGTGGAGCAGTTCCAGCGCCGGTTCCGGAACTGGTACTGGCACTCCTCGATGGCCAGCTGAGCGCCTCGGCGCACCGAGTCCATCACCTCCAGGTTCCGCTTGCACATCTGTACCTGCCTCTGGATCAAGCCCTTGAGCTTCTCGCACGTCTCCTCCTCCGAGATGCTCCCCACTGAGGACAGCTTGGCCAGGTACCTGGGGAGAAGGCGGTGGGGTGAAGTGCCGTGCGGCCCGCCTTCTCCTCTTGCCACTGCTGGGACCGGGCTGTGCCCAGCCCAGGTCTCCGGGAACCAACTCATCCTACTGTCCGGTCCTGGCAGTGACTTCTCTCTGGATCCGGAGACAGGCTCCCCTGCCTGGCTCTTGGGGCCAGAGGGGGAATGCTTCTTGCATAAGAAAGCCTCTGCCTCCACCAAAGCAGGCTGGGCACAAGGAGGGACCCTGACAGAACCTCCACCCCAGCGTGACCCTGGGGCTCTGACCCTGTCATGTCCCTCTGGCTGCGAGGCTGAGACCACTCCCCTAGTGTGCCTCTCTTTCCCCACCTCCAGGCAAGGATCCTGGCCACCTAAGCCCAGCCCAAGCTACGGCCGGCCGCATCCCCGGGTACCAGGTGGAGGCCAGCATCGGGGCTGCAGCCGGGTACTAGCACAGGGATGGTGGCGGGGGAGGAGAGCTTAAAAAACACAGTGTGCCATGCTCTTCCCTCATCCCCTTGAGTTTTTAACAGCCTGGAGATGGGGCACCAATGCTGGTTCCACCTCACGGGGTTATGACGAGGACCACAAGCTAGGTAATGCACGTCCAAGGGCTCTGGGACCAGGCCTACGGGGAGCAGGGGGCTCTAAAGCGTCTGTTTCAGGGGAGGACAGGAGAGACCACAACTGTTCATTGAACACCCACTATGTGCCACGCACAGTGGCAGTCACTGCTTCCTGCTGCATTCTCGCCCCCAGTCTGTGAGGTGGTAATTACTATGCCCATTTTACCAATTCCAGCATGAAGGCTAAGAGGGTGACACAGACAGCATGTGCCAGAGCTGAGCTGCGAACCCCTTCAAGCCCTGTGGGCCTTCCTCCTGCCTGTCCTCCCTGGTGGGTTGAGGGCCAGACTCTGCCGCGTGTGAGGAAAGACCCTATGTGGCCTGGGCCAGGACGCAAGGGAGTGGGAAGCAAGATGCAAGAATGCTCAGCAGGAGGGGAGCAGAGCTGGGGAAAGGCCCTGTCAGGAAGGAGCAGTCCCCCTCAAGGGAAAGAGATATGCATTAGCTGAATACCTACTAAGTGCCAGCTATGTCTCAGATAGGTGAAGGGTCACCTGACTTGTGAGGGCAGATCTAGATTGAAGGCCAGGTCCAACAAGCCTACGACTGGGTTCTAACCACAGGCCCTCAGCCTGTTGCCCCCTCCGCTAACATCCTTGGCCAAAGAGAGCAAGTATGCAGCTGTCCCTGACTCTATAGCGAACCAGCCTCTCCCCTCCTCCTCACGCCTCCTCCCCCATAACTTGGCTAACAACCCTGGACTGGGATGGGGGGAGCTTTCTGGAGTACGGGGCAGAGATGCTGTTGCTCCTATAAGGTAAGCTGCACGAATTTCTTGTCCAAAGGGGAAGGCCACTACCCTCCGGGACTTAGTTTTCTCATCTGTAATGTGGGGAGGTTACCTCTGGTTCTGGCTAAGTCATGGAACTGTTATCAGAGCAAAAGGGGTCCTGTGTGTGACAGACGGTCTGGCCAGGGGTCCGAGGCAGGGGTCAGGAACTGGCCATTTGTTCGCTGAGTGAAGTAAATGAATGGAGAGCAAAGAGAGAAGTTCACAGAGAGCCCCGCTAAGATACGGCACATTTTCATGACGATGGTCCTAAGCGTCGCTCACTTTGATGGACCTTCGGACCAGGCTGAGCACTTTACTTCCATTATTGCATTTATCCCCTCAGCAAGCCAATGGACCCCCATTTTACAGAGGAGGACACTGAGGAACAGACAGATTAAGTACCTTGCGTTGTGCCCAAGGTCATTCAGCTAGTAAGAGGTGGAGCCAGGACTTGAACCTGGTTTTGCCTGGTTTCACAGCCTGTGCTAGACCCAACGTTGTTTTAAGCGGCTCGAGCACTAGACCTGAGCTCTATGGGCAGAAGCTGCTGGGAGCTGGGTTTGCTCAACCTCAGGGTGCTGGTCAAGGTGCAGCCCGTGGTCTGCCCGCTGGTAGCCCGGCTTCCCTCCCCGCTGGGGGGTGTTTGAGCGGCAGGTGGATTCTGTTTGTCAGGCACGCGGGCTGGACCAGAGGAATATGGCGCTCAGATCTGGCGGGGCCGGTGTGCGGGGTTTGCTGAAAACGCAGGGGCCTGGGTCTCCCTCTAGGTGGGGCTGGGTGGGCACCTGGGCTTTTCGCACGTCCCCAGGAGCAGCTGGGAAGCCAGGCTGGTCCTGGATGGCACTTTAGGGGAAGCTCTTGGCTAACCACCAGTGATGCCTCCTTCTGCCCCCGAGAGAGATGTGATTCTGGGACCCCTGTTCCTCCTCCCCGTGACATCAGCTCCCCTCCCCCAACACCCCAGTTGTGGGGCCTGAGTCTAGCTTTCTTTATCTAGAAGTGGTGAGCATGGATCCTCTCCCAGAGGGCCGCCGTGAGAGAAAGCAATTCCACGTGGCTGAGGCAGCTGGCTCTGAGCCGGGCACACGGCAGGTGTGACCAGGAGGAGCCCCCCTTCCCTGGAAGCACAGGTGAGTAGGAGGTGGGTGGTCTTGGGCTGAGGCAGTCCAACCTTCCCTTCCTCTCCCCAAGTTCCTTGCCTCCTGGGGGACCTCCCCGTCTTCTCTACCAGGTCCTCTCTAGGGGAGGCACAGAGACTGGTAGGGTCAGGGCAGGAGCCTGAGCCTCCCAGAGGGGAGACAAAGGTGGGAAGATGGTTGAGGGGCGCAGGGAGACTGCAGCTGGACAGGATGGGGCCAAACTTGGCTCTTCAGCCCTGTATGGGTGCTCCTCTTGCCTGGGCCAGCTGAGGAAAGGGGGTCCCCCTGTGGAGCTAGTCCCACCTGGTGCTCTTGGCCTGCAGGGGGCGCCAAGAGCCCAGCGACTGGCCAGGGGCCAGGTCCATACTTGGGAGGCCGTGAGTGAGGGGACAAGGAGTTGGGCCTCAAGTTGGATCCTTTCGTGCTCAGACCCAGGCCTGACCTCTGGGATAAGGGTGGGGGCCCCTATTCCCTGAGCGACATGGGGGTACAGAGCTGGCCTGTACCCATCTCAGCCCCTTTTCCCTCTGCGTCCTGCCAAGGGGCCAGGTCAGGCTATACGGGCTCCTGGCTCCTGATGAAGGGAGGTGTTCAAGGGCAGGAGAAGCAGGCTGGGGAGGCCTGGCTGAGCCACCAGCCCACAGTGTGACCGTGGGCAAGTCCCTGCCTACTTGGAGCCTTTTCTCGTGGGGACCATAACCTGGCGGGTCTGTGTGGCCTTTCCCACTGTCTGAGGGGCAGTCCTCCTTCTACAGACCGGGAGGGGGCGCTGTCCAAGCCTCAACAGCCTTGGGGGGGCCCCCGGCCGGGCTGGTAGACGGAGCCCCTATCGATGAGTGAGAAATGAAGTCCACCCCGGGAACTGCCCACCACTCTCTCCTAGGTCCGGACTCCACGAGGGGAGGCGGCCTGAAATCACAGTAACAGGGCTGTAGGGGAGCTGTGGGCTGCCACGGCTGTGAGTCACCAAGACAGCTTCCAGGAAGAAGCCGAGAACCCTCTTCCGCTGAGGAGCGTGCCTGCCCCATGGCCGGCACCCGAGCCACCCCCCCTGCCACCGGCCCCTGCCTTCATCTGGCTCAACAGCTGTCCCCTTCCATGCCACAGGAGGCACAGCTCCACCCCACCCGATTCTGTCAGATCCCTGGTCTCGCCCGGGAAGGGCTGGCTGGTGCGACCGGACATGCAGCTGGGAATGGGGTGGACAGACCTGGGACCCCAGGCCCTTGCCTGCGCTGCTGGTCTGGGTATCTGGTTCAGGTGTGTTTTGTTACAGAGGAGCGAACTGAGGCCCAGAGAGGTGGAGGGTCTCACCCAAAGTCACACAGCCAGTGAGTGACACGGAGCTCGGTCTCCCCTGTATCTTGGTTGTGGGTCTGCCCTGTCTGACGGCTGGGGGGCTGACACTACCTTCAGTGTCTGTCCAGCCCATGGCCTCCTCATTGCCCGGCACAGGCGAGGCACACAGAAGGAGTTCAGTCAATGCCTGCGGTGTGACGGACGGCTCTGTCCCCCTCTGTCACCTACTGGCAGGGTAGGGAAGGGCAGGGGTGAGGGAGTACGTTGGGGGCTGCCTTTGCCTCCCGCCCTGCAGTGGGCTTGGAGACGGTCAGGGGTCAGACCCAACTGGTCCTGGGGGCCTCAGGAATCCCTTCCCTGCACCCTAAGGTGGCTCAGCCTTTCCCCCAGAGACACATGTGCCCCTCGATGACCCTAGAGCTGGGCCGGGCTCGGATGTTGGCTGCACAAGCCATTTCTGGGGAGCTGGAGAGCCAGGTCTGTGGAGGGCCTCGACCATCTCTGCCTGTTCTCGCGTTCGGGTTGCCTTGCCCCAATTTAGGCTTCTTCCTGCCACTGCTGAGTCCAGGCTTAGCAATCTGCCACCTGCTGCCCCAGCCGCCCAGGACTCTCGCCGCAGCCCTGCCATCGATCAGGTTACCCCAGCAGCCTGGGCCGCTCCGGCTGCCGCTGCCAGCCAGCTCGTGCCCCCATCTCCTCACCCGGGGGGCTGCAGGTCCTGCAGGCTTCTCCCAGGAGGCCGTCCCCGCCGGCCCGTGCCGCAGCCTGCAAGGCTGGAGGGCCCAGGCCCTGGCCCTGCCAGGGAGATCAGATCCTCTCAGCCACCTGCTGTTTTCATTAGAAACTAAAATTAGCTGGGCTTGTCCCAAGCTTTTCCAGGTTTGCTTGCTTTTTTAAAAAAATATACAAATTCCTAGAGGAAAATCCACACTTCTCCGACTGCTCTCCAGCTCTCACTCTGCGCGTCCAGAGGAGAGGGGACGGGAAATAGCTGGGGTGTTTGGGAGGCCAAGCAGATCAGTGTCGTGGGTCCTGGCCCTGCGGGTGTCCAGGTGGGGGCTGGGACGCCAGCCCAGGCCTCTCTGCCCCCTCCCTCTGGCCTCCCTGCCTGCCTGGGCCACATTTAGAGCCTCCTCAGGAGTGGCAGTGCCTGGGACACCCT